ACAGGATAAGGAAGAAAGAACAGGATAAGGAAGAAAGAACAGGATAAAGAAATCCCCTGAACAAAAAACAGCCAAAGTCTGGGAGAACAGTAGTGGGGGTATATTGTCCTCTGTGAACTTGCCGTGCTTGTATTCTTCCCTAGGCATTTGCTTGTAACTACTGCTAAGAGTACTGGGCTATCAGGATTCCTAGTTTGTGGCAGGACAGTAATCTTCATGCTCCCCTAAAACAACTCTGGCCAGTTACTGATCCAGCAGAGCACAGAGAGGGAGGGAGGAGTGATAATTGCACAAGGAGAAAGGCCAGACCTTACCGTAAGTGACCATAAGGAGCAAAAAGTTGGCATTGCGGAGCAGACGGAGGATTGATTGCACGTAGGAATATTCTGCCGTTGGTCTTGACTGGATCAAGGCCTGAGCTCGGCTTGGAGGGTTCTGGGGCTTCTCCTTGAAGACTGAAATCAGACACAAAGTATACCTGTTTGTAATGGTGTCATCAGGAGCCCTGAGCACACACTGTGGGTAGAGCCATTTCAGGGATGGCAGAGAGACTAGTAAAACCAAGCACACAAAACACACTAGTGTCCTTAAGCTTTGATCTTCATGCATGAACTCATCCAGGAACAGGAGAGAACAGGCTGTCTCCAACACTAACTCCTCCCACTAGGAAAACGCCTTGCATTTCATTCCTTTGTCTTCAGAAGGATGATCAGCCAGCTGCTAAAATATTATGTGGATTTACAAATGCCAAAGCAGATTAGGAAAAGTCAGATAGCAAAGATGGCCTCTGAAGTGTCCAGTGCCTGGTGAGCAATGACCTATGTATGCCAGCTTTTATTTCAGGCCTGGAACTTTTTAGACTGGCCAAGTCATCTGCTGTCCCTTACTAGCATTAGTGTCCAGAATTGCCAGTCACAGGCAATTCTGCTGTGCCAGGTGCTAGACAACCATTCTTGCACCTTGTCTATTCCCTGCCCCAGATTCTTTGAAGTCTACATCTGATTCAACCACCGGTAACATGAACAAACTGGCAAGAGGAGCCTATCCAAAAAATTCCATGGAGTTCAGTAGACAATGTCTGCTCTCCAGTGAGCATGTCAGTCTTTCATGCTAAAGATTTGGCTTCTACTTCATGGATTAAGCATGAAGTAGGAGAATTGCACCTCTGGTCTCCTGCTACTGCCCTCAGTGCTTCCTTCTATCCACTCATAACTAGTTACCTTTTTTCTCTTAGGAACAGCTTGTTCCTAAGAGAACATATAACCTGCCTCTTTCTCTCTACCCTGAGGAGGTCTTCAGGTCCAAGGCACAACCCAAGGCCCAGCACTCTGTTTGCAGGGAAGATGACTATGAAACTTGGAAGACTTCTCTTGGCTTTTAAAGGATTTACTCATGCCAGGGTTTTATTAAGCAGGCAAAGGATTAAATGAACAATTTGGCAGGCTCATTCACAACCTCTTATACTCCCCTTCACATGTGCAGTTCATCAAGGACTTGAAGCAGCAAGATGGGGTATTGCATGACCCTGTCAGCTGCATGCTGCATCACCAGATGACCTTCCCCACCCATTTCCTGGCACACAGCCCCCTCAAACACACAGGCTGATCTTCTCAGTCCCACCTGTTTTCCTGTGCATGCTCCCACCTCCTTACCTAGGATGACCAGGATGAATAGGGCTGATGCCACACCTGCAGTCATGAAGAACATGATGCTGATGTGGTAGGCCAGCTTCTCCACATCCTCCACATTAGGAATCAGAACTGGAGGGACTAGAAAGCCCACAGCGATACCAAGCTGAGCAAGAGAGAGAGGGGATAAACAGAGGCATGACATGAAACCACAACACTGCCACCACCCTATAGCTCAGTAAAGGCTCAACTGCATCTAATCCGATTTCACAACCAAGATGAAAACCTTCCTTACCACCCAAAAATTAAGAGATAAAGCCAGCTACCCTTTGCAATTAGGCCATAAGAGAGGTTCCCCCACTGCACTTACAACTGTCAGGATATTCAAGGCAAAGTTTTACAACAGAATTGAGCAGAATGAATACTTGCCTCCATTGAAATGGAGGTCTTGCTTCCCCTGACCTCCCCCATGCATGTATGTTCCTGTCCACACACACATCCCACTCCTTACCTTGCACCTGCTCTGATGCTGACCACATTACCCGGTAATCCAATTTTGCTCATTAAAAATGGCAGAAAACAAGACCATCAAAACCCACCACAATTTTTACTAGGTTAATGAGTTGAAACAATTTATTTTCCAACCAGACAAGCGCAAGGAGAGAGGGCCAAGAGAGAAACCTGCCCACTCATAATAAGTGAGATATTAATCTGGCTCAGTCACTTTATGACACTATCACAAACGAGCACCCTCCCAAGACAAGACTCACCCTATGACCACCAGGAGAACACAGAAAAACAACAAGGTTGAAATCAAAAGAAGTGCTGACAGCACGTATCCTACACACTGAGGTTGCTTTTGTGATGGGGCTTGGCAACTGACCCTGGTAAAATGCTCTGAAGGGCTACAAAAAGAAACTCCTACAGCTAGAGTCCCTACTGTGCCAAAAGCCCCTCATATGTTCAGCTGAGAAGCTCCTGCAGTGTCAGCATGCAGCCTGGTGAAGACATTAGGCCGCAGCTATTTCTTCAGTTCAGCAACAAAGTGATGCAGCACCACAGGCTTTGCCACACACTTTGCAATGAGAGCGACTGACAGTGGCACAGACCTTCAGTGCCACTCTCAAATGGAAGAGAGAAGAAATCACTGCTTCAGTGTTTAGGAGCACACTCTTCATAAAGTGGGAGCCAAAGTGCACTCAGCATATTCATGAGTACTCTAAACTGCAGAGGAGCCTACAAAAGCCATTTTTTCCCCACTCCTTGAGTTACACTGTTTGTGCCTGTATTTCAATCACCAGTTGGTTTCCAAGGACTGTGTATTTACCTGTTCCCCCAACTCTTCCCAAGCATTTGCAGGCATCTTGGTCATCTGAAAAAGAGGCATGCTAAAACTCAACTCCTGCTTGCTCTCAAGGCTCTGCACACTCACCCATGTTTGGGGAAAAAACATTTTTTTGTTGTTTAGCAACACCCTCACTTAGCAACACAGGCCTGATTTAGGCCTATATTTGCTGTTGTGGACAGTGACCAGGCACACACGAGAGCATTCAATAATTGGAAGGACTGAGAAGGCATCCAAGAGAGATACCAGGTGGCCATGCAGCCATTCATTCTCATTCTTGCTTGAAACAGAGATTTCCAATCTCTTTTGCAGGCTACGCTATTTGCCTGGAGGTAGGAAAGCACTAACAGTAGCAGTATAGTGCTAACTGAACCAAGACTGAATAGCAGCTTAAAAAAACAGTGGTTATTCATGCTACACCAATATAACCTCTATAAAGCCACTGAACTCATGACACTATGAGTAAACGAGGATATAGTCAAAAGTCCACTCCATTTAGTGTTTCCTTATGGGAAATATTAGATTGACAGGAATAAATTAGCACAACCATGACTCATTGTTTCAGAGCAACGGACTGGAGAGGATGCTGTTTATGCCTCACAGCCAACTGAACAGCAACAAGACAGCCCCACTAGCCAACTGCTTCCCTAAAGGATTCTGCAGTGCTCAATGTATTCACAGTCACTGGAAAAGGTCTATGACTCTACAGGTATAGAAAGCAAGGACTAAGAAAGGCGAGTACTATGCTGCCCATAAATCACAACAAAGCACATAAGCTACACAGATCAGATGTCCCAAGAGCCCTGTAACCCAGGCATGAGCTCAGACATGATGCCCAGGTTGCCTTCTAGCAAAACCTACTCATGCTTTCTGTGTGCTTTCTCTGTCATATCTCCATGTTTCTCAAATGCCTCATTTTGGAAGGCCCACTCATTGGCCAGGATAAAAATCTCAGACCAAATACATTTCAGTTGCCATATCTGACAGTTGAGATAAAAATCAGCTTGTGCCATCCAGCCTGAGAAAACTCTCCACAAAATTCCTACTCCTTCATCCAGCTGGTGGATTTTTGAGACAGGAAGAACACTTATGTTTCAAACAGAGATATCTGCTACCCTCAGACACCCTATTTAGCTTACAAAAAAGTAATTTTCAACCATGTCTAGCCAAACTTAGTCTGTATCAAACAGTATGCCCTCCACTGGGACCTGGAATAGCCTGGGTAAGGATCAGCAACAGATACCTGTGCTAAATTCATTCTTGGTGCTGGGACATTGCAGGGAGCCAGGGGGAATAGCCACCAAGAGATTACAGATGTGCCCCATCAGTTCAGGGTACTGCCAGGAAGGAGAACACTTGAGCCTTGTTTACGTGGACTGAAGACAGACGCAAGTTGTGCCATCAAGTCAAGCTTGGATTGAAAGAGCTCAGGAGGAAACTTAAACCATTAGGAAGGATAAACCTTCCTAACACCCACACAGCATAGATAGCCCCTGACACAGGACCAAACTTGCCAAAGCTCAACTTTGTTCAGACATGGTCTATTCTCAGCCTCTCATCGCAGCGAGTCAGGCCAGCTCTCCTCCTCTGCACTGCCCACTATCAGTGAGCACAACTATCAGCTGGCTTAGAGGCTTCAAGCTCTGATCCTCCTCAGATTGCATGCCTCCCCTCCTCTGCACAAGCCTGCAGCTGCACAGAAAGAGTAACTGCATTAAACACAGAAGCTCACAGAGGGCAAAAGCCTGCTTGTCTCTGCAGTGCATTTATTTTGCTCTGCTTGTGGCCAAGTGCAGGCCTATGGCTCTGGTGTGCATGGTCAGCCCAGGACAGAGCCACCCTGGGCTTCACTCCTATCTCTGTAGCATTCCCAAAGGTTCAACCTTAGAGGAAGAGACTGTCAACATAGCTCCTTTCCATTCAAGGGAAGACTCCTATTGCCTCTTACATATCAGGTCTCACATGTTCCCTACACCCTTTAACAAATAAGGTCTATAAACACTTTTCCGGAAATTGATCCTTTGTCTTACCACTGTTTAATTCTTGGAAGAACTAGGCTGGATTCCTGTGCTACATGCTTCTTGGCCTACTTCTCTCTGCAATCACACGCTAACCACATGAGCTGCTGAACAGCAGCTAAACAACAACAGGAGAGGAGGGGAGATCATGCTTTATTCTGACTTTTGACATAAATTTCTCCAGGACCACAGCTGAGATGCAATCTTTTCTGGTCTCCCTCTAGCTGTTCCTTCCCGAAAAAGGATCTATCTGATATACCTAGCAGAGAAAGTATTGAGTGTCTGTTGTGCAAACTGTTCAGAAATCCTTTCCTGGGAGGTCCTACAGTCATAATTTACCCAATGTGACACAGACTTAGCATTTTTGGACACTACTTGTTGCCTTTTCAGAAGACCTGAACAATTTTTCTAACTATAAATGGATGTTTTGTCCTCTCCCTTCTCCTACCAAAAGAAAGGAATCACTTTTATCCATTAAGAGTTCATTATACCTTTGGTAGTAGAATGAACAAAAAAATCACAGCAATAGGAACTACATTTTATATTTCAGAGCAACTGATGCTATTAATTCTGTGACGATGAATCTCTCTGATCTGGCCAAAACTGAAGATTTCCTGAAGGATACTCACAAACCCTGGATTAGTCATACCATTTTTACCAATGAAGACAAGCTCTCAACAACATGAAGAATATTATACTGCACATATTTTACCTTTCACAAGGAGATTTTTAGCCTGGTTCTCAGCAGACCAGTACCCGCATCACCGTCAGCCCACAGACAACACTGTAACCGATTAACCAGAAAATTCAAAAGATAACTCAGAAAGACAAAAATAACTTTTCTCCCTTCTCCACACCTTTCACATGAGGGAAAATAAAGCAATGTAAAACTAAGGTTGGTTCTGCAACAATCTGTTCTACTCTTCTCACAAAGACCATCAGTCATAAGGGATCATAACGCAGTCCCTCTTACCAGCATTTTCAACCTTTATATAGGCAAAAAGGAGTCCAAGACCTATAGAGATAGGCTCTAGTTCCCAAAATTTGGCACATCACTCAACGTCCTCACACTCAAAACCCCCAGGACTGCCCTGATCTCCAAGGATCTCTCTTCAGGAACCAGGCTGCTGGCACTTTATTTTAAAAAGGCTTTGGGGTAACTTTTAAACAGACTACCAGGAAATCAACAATGACAACAGAGTGCATTGTTCAGACGACTTTTTATTTAAAGGCTGGTTAAAGACAGAAGGAATGTATTTCCTACCTGAATTTTGTCAAGGACCAGTCACAACAACATCATATTCGAGATTCAAGTGTATACAAGAATAGGCAACAAAACCAAGAGCAAGTAGCTAAGAAGATGGTACAAATGTACCCAAAGTCTTGAAATGGAAAATGAGATCTCTTAACTTTAGGAGATTGTATACTCAAAGTCTACTGAAGGAAGATAATCAGTGGTATATCAGCATAAAATCTGTAAATGAATGATCGATGGAAGAGTGAAGGGCAGGAGGTGGACCTCCACCTCAAAAAAAACTAAGAATCAGCAAAGGCACTCAAAAGCCCTATAAAATTCCATAAGTACAGATATTGACAGAGGAGACCACCAAACCCAGAAGGTCAATTAAAATGTTAAAAGATAGAAAGAGAGAGATGCTGCAAAAGCAAAAAATATACAACAGTAAGAAATTTCGACAATGCCCTTGCAAGCTAAATAAGTGTCATTACAGGGATGATGCAGAGACTGCAATTTTTAGATTCCATAAATACTCTTTTCTGAGGAGAACTTATAAGAGGCAGCGC